GCTTGCTGTTTGGACAGAAGTGGAGCCACGCTCTGCCTCCTCCTCCTCCTCCTCCCTTGGAGTTCAGAGCTTCTGACTATCTTGCCCTGAAGGGTAACACCCAGGCATTTGGGGGGGGGGTGTTGTTGTTGTTTCCCCTGTAGAGCCTCCATAGAGTGCCAGCCAGCCCCCCGCCCCCCGGGTCTTTGTGCCCCGTCTGTCTGCAGCTCCCCCTGGACACGGCAGAGGTTGCCCTGGGGGCTGGGGGGGGCGTGTAGCTGCTCAGCTGTATCGCTGGGGGGGGGGAGGCTCTGTAGCGTTGGGGATGTTCCCTCCTGTGGAGGTGGGAGGGGCGGGGGGGGGCCGGGTCCCCCTGAGGCCGTTCCTCTGTCCCGGGGGGGGGGTGTCCTTCGGTCTGTCCCCGCCGCAGACCTCTCTCCGTCGGAAGGGGTCTCTGTGCTGCGGCTCTTCCCCGCCCCTCCAGGCCGAGGCCAGCTGGACAGCAGGGGGTGGGGTGGGGGGAATCCCCCCCACTCGTGCCGTGGGAGGTTGCTGGGTGGCCTTGGGCTGGTGGCGCTCCTTCAGCCTCTCCTGCCTCACGTCCTTCAGAGCCCCGGAGAAGCCCTGTGGGGTCAGGCCAGCGGCCCCTCCAGTCCCCCACCCTCTCCGCGTCGTCACACAGTGGCCCAACCCCAGGGGCCGTCCGGAGGTCCTCCGGCGGGGCCATTACTCCAGGAGCCCCTCCCACCAGGAACGCAGAGAGCACACGCACGCGCGCACACCCCCCCACTGCCCCAGGGGCCGCGTTCCATCTACACCCAGTGGCTCTGGGGGCCACTGGCGGGCCTCTCTGCTCCAGGTGTCCCCCTGAGGGGGGGTGGGGCTGTGAGGAGAGGAGGGCAGCGTGAGCCGCCGCTTTGGGTCTCCTGCGTTGGGGAGGAGGGAGGGGAGGTGTGTTCCACGAGCAGAGCCAACGAGAGGGGCCGTCTTGGCTGAAGGGTGGGGCCCCAGTGTTCCCTCTCGGCTGAGTCGGTGTGAGCCCCGCTCACGGCTTTCTAGCCTCCGGCTCGCACCTTTTTGCCTTGGCTCAGGAAGGGATGGGGCTCCAGAGAGCAGACTGACCTATGCAGCGGCCAAATGTCTCGGTCACGGCCTTAAGGCCAGCAGTAGCTCACAAGGTAGAATTCTGGCTCACGAGAAGACTCTGCGGGTTGGAGGGAGCGTGTGGGTGGCAGCATTCATGTTCTCTTCTCTCCCCTCTCCCCCACCCCCAGCGCATGGCTTTCTGCCCCTGGGAGGAGGCGTTCGGCCTCAGCGGGAGCACCGAGAAGGACCAGGGCACCCTGAAGCCCACCGCCCCGGACTACTTCCTGCTGCAAGGTGAGGGGTGCCCCCCCCCTCGAGGCCGGCTGGGGCGGGTGCTGGCCACGGGGGGCCTCATGGTGTGGAAGACTCTGGGGCAGGGAGGGGGGCATCCACAGGACCAGTGTTCCCTCTAAGCTGTGTGAACGTGAGCCAACTCACAGTTCTGTAGCCTCCGGCTCACACATATTCATCCCAGCTCAGGAAGGATGGGGCTCCAGAGCAAACTAATCTGTGGAGTACCCAAACTGCTCGCTCACCTCTTCAAGGCCAGCAGCTCACCAAGTTGAATTTTTGCTCACAAGAAGACTCCACAGCTCGGGGGGGGGGGGCATTGGCCAGGACCCTCCTCTGAGGATGGGGAGACGACGATTCCAGAACTCTCGTCCTCAGAGGAGGGAGGGAGGGAGACCAGTCCTGGGTAGGTTTCCCATCTGCTTTGGCCGAAAGGGGGGGGAGCGGCCCTTGGACATTCCTCGGGGGTGCCTCACGTCGGGGTCAGCTCCAC